TTGCAGATACTGTCTTTTTATTCTACAGGGTCTCTGCTTTTAAAAACATATACAGATGTTCCTCGCTTACCAACTTACCTGTTTTGCGACCACTCGCACTTACGACGGACCGCCGATCGACCTCCGACCTTGCGCGTCAGCGTCAGTGCGCCGTGTCGCCGGGGGAAGTGACGTCCTCCGATCTTCACTGCGGGTCCCGGTAAGTATTTTCATTGCCCGATGTACAGTACACTGTTCGGTACTGTACTTCTGCAATGCTATACAGTACTGTACTAATGCAGCACAGCACTGTATAGAGTTCCTTACTTAACGACCAATCCGTTTAATGACCTGGTCGTAGGAACGGAACTGGGTCGTTAAGTGAGGAATACCTGTACATGTTTGGGGGTTTTAAATAATGTTCTAGCCAAAACTATAGATTTTAACATAGGAACAAAAATGTTTTAAAAAATGCTGCATAGGGGAGGTGGTTAAGATTAATTTACTCATATACCTAAAGAACAATCAAACGTAATATACATTTGTTTTCAAACAGTGCAAAGAGCACATTTTATTTACCCTTAGGAAGCAATCAAAATAGTCAGCATAGGGTTACTTATTGTTCAACATACCTGAAAGTATTTTATTCCTGTGAAAATAGTAAAAATAGATAACCCCTCATATGTCTCCCTAAATCTACCTGCTATATTTTAGGGGAACATATTTTTTTGTACCTACTATATGAATACAATTGCATACTTACCATGCAAGGGAAGATATGGAAAACAGAGATGCTAATAAAGTTTTTTTTTTTACATTTCAACAATTTGATGTACACTATAGCAAATGATTCCAAAAGTCCTTGAATAATATTATTTGCAAGAGAATATGCTTTATCTAGGTACAGAAATAAACACAAGACGCGTTGCAGATAAAACCCACTCTATTAGACAAACTATAGCAATGTGAATATGTCACTCACTACCAGCAGATCCAGCAGTTCATCCTCCAGCCGCATCATCATATTGAATTATAATAAATGAGAGAACATTTCCCTTTCATCATTTCCATTTAAAAAAATTCCCTTTGTGTTGTCCCCATTAATAATGGATGCAGCTACAGAAGGAGTTTCTGTGGAATGGAAACTGACAAAAGAGGGACGCTTAGACACGCAGCCGTACCACTGAGACCGGATTGTTATTCAGGCACTGGCAGTTTAAAGAAAGTTTGGAAGATTGAGATCACAGACGTCTTCTTGCACATTCTGATTATGGAAGAATGAGAAACGTTCTTTGTAATGACTTATGCCAGCTACCTGTTTACTCAATAGTTCACGCTAAGAAAGCAGGGGATACGTAAAATAGGACCTTGCCAATAGAACAGCCATTATTTCTTGAAACTGGGAACTACCAAGGTTCAAAAGGTACTACTGTAAGCACTACAAAAGTATTTCAACAGTCCAAATGTCTACAAAAACGTAATTATTGCTGCTTTTCTATAAATAGCACATAACTGTTAACCTTTTCACAACTAGAAACCAAGGTTTTGCATGGCACAATAAATTATATGTAGGTTAAGAGCTGTGCTTTCTTTTAAGAAAATCTATAAATGACAGCGAAAAATGGACAAAAAAAAAGGAAAATATTAGGGGGATAAGCTTATAGAGTAGTAAAAATATTAACCCAATTAGCTATCATTTAAATTTCTTTAATTTATACTTTGTCGCCTCCTCCCATGCTCGCATCCAGGACTTCTCCAGTGCTCTGGAACTCCCTACCCCAATCTTTACAGCTATCCACTACTCTGTCTGCCTTTAGGCAATCCCTGAAAAGTCACCTTCAGCGAGGCCTATCCCACCTCCACCTAACAACTGAAGTTTTACATTCTTGACCAACTCATCCTTACGCACTTACTACCTTTTGCATCACCTGCCCTTCCCTTTTAGATTGTAAGCTCTCCCGAGCAGGGCCCTCCTGCCCCTTTTGTCTTGAATTGTATTGAAACTTTACTGTCTCCCTTTATTTTGTAAAGTGCTGCCCAAACTGTTGGCACTATATAAATCCTGTAAATAACAGTAAAGTACTCGTGGATCGGTACAAACTATCTGCATCACCAATGGTAGGCTTTTGCTGCCCCAAGCAACATAGTCTAAGGAATGGTATACCAACAGCTGTCAAGCCAGCGGGCAACCAAAGCAAAGTACTGAATCACAAGGCAAAGTGACGTCTGTAAACAGGAAGGGTTCAAACAGACATAGGAACACAGGAACAAAGTTGATATTTATAGGGAAAGACACCACGCTCTTCCAAGGATCCACAGGAATCCCTTTGTCCAGTCACTGACAGTGCACAAAGCGGAATGTTTCTACTTTTCATCTAGTGATACTGGAGAGATTCACCCTCTCCATTCGTTCTGCTGACTACGCTCACCCAAATTGAGTAAGGGGAGATCTACAATTATAAGTGATTGGGTGAAGGATAGAGTGGAAATCTTTAAAAGGGGATATCTGTTCCAGGGACAACTGTGTAAGAGAGAATAGAGTTTTCCTTTAAATGATGATCTGAATTATATGCAGGGACTCTCAGGCCTTTCCTTTATTTCAGAAGCACTCAGAGACTGCAAAAACTGAGGGAGTCCCAATATTTACATTATCAGCTTTCTTAGCAAAACTCATGAGCTGGGGGCGTGGTCTTGACATGGCGCCGTGAACACACGCTTTAGGGGAGCTCTGCAGTCACCGGGCCGGACCTACGTTTCAGCAGACTTTATGCCCTAATTTTCTCCATGCCCAAGGATCAGAGGACGCACGGCACTCATGGTGACCTCCTCCCTACATCGCTCTCCGATTTTTTCGCCCGCCAGTCCCCGATTCCCGCTACATCGACTACCTCCAAGATGGCGCTCACTCGCTCCTCGGCAGGCGGTCTCCTGTCGGGTAAGGTGCAGTGACGCAGCACGGTGTTCCCGACACCTGACCCGGGGGAACTCCATGACTGACTGCCCTGGGCCCTCGAGCCAGATGCAGGACATGCCACAGCCGGAATCCCCGCCCGGCCCCTCTCTGCCCTCACACGCGCTGGGTCCGGGCGTCCAGGGGGCGGGCAGCCTACAGGGCCTGCTGCCACACCTACCCACTAAGCGGGACCTAGATAACATGGCGTCCTCCATTGTTGCAGCCCTAAAGAAGGAATTGCATGACCTTACACACGCCATCAGCACCCAGAGATGTCCTGTGCAGGGTGCACTTTTTCGCTGTAAAAGAGGAAATTATCAGGCAAGCATGGAGACAAGGCCCCTCTGACTTTGACGGAGCTACCATCCGCATCATGCCGGATCTTTCCTGCCATACTCTACGTATGAGACGTATGGTTCGTCCCTTGCTGGATCTCATTCGCTCTGCTTCTGCTACATACCGCTGGGGCCACCCGTTTCACCTAATTATACGGCGAGACGAGTCTACCTTCCAATTTCCACTTCCTAGATGTGGACTCTGTGGACGTCCCCAACTGGCTGGAATTTCCTGATGATACTTCGGAGTTGACCCCTCTTCCTCCGCGGACCCCACGTTTAGCCAGAAGCAGACAGCAGACGGACAAGGGGGAGGGAGGGGCGTTGGAGGGCGAAAAAACAAGCACATAGAGACGATCGGCAGGCTACAGAGCCGACGATCGTCTATATATGAAACAACCGGTAACGGGTGTTTGCATTGCATGGGTCTTTTCAGCCCGTGCACGCCCGCTAGGGGGCGCACGCAAGCAGAAAGAAAAAATGCCGTCTGAAGACGGCAAACCGCCAATGCAGCAGTGGCGTCCGTCCGTTTTTTTACAACCGGCGGACGGCAACTGGTTAAACGTATAACCAGTAAACATTCATATTGCAGTCTTTTTTTTGTTGCCCCACTTTCTGTGTTGTTCTTAAGAATGCTAACCCAAGCTACAAATCCGTTAGATATGAGACAATGCAATAGGGCTGCAACAACTAATCGATTTAATCGATGATAATCGATAATGGGAATCATTGTCAATGATTCTCATTATCAATTAGTTGATTATGCGATTAGTTGCTGCTTCCGCCGCTCTGCTCCACCGCTCTCTCCTCCCCTGTGGGAGCCGCTGAATGCAGCCGTCTGTGTCTCCTTCCCTCCCCGTCTGTATCAGTGCCTGTCAGCCGCTGTGCCTTTACATTCCCTGTGCCTCCGTTGCTCCCGTGCTGCCTCTCCCCAGTGCCCATTCTGCGTCTCTTGTGCCCCCCGTGCCAACGCTGCCTCTCTGTTGCACCCCCTCTGTGACTCCGCTGCTGCCCCATCACCCTCCTGCTGCCTCCTGCCCCCTCCTCGGCCGGCGGTAGAAAGGCGGTGTCAAATCTCCCATCCAGTGGCTGGGAAAAATAGCCAGCCTGCTATTGGCTATTTTGAATTGCAATAGCCTGCTGTCAATCAGTAGAGGAGGACCTGAAGGAGAACCTGCCATTGTAATGTGCAATAGCCAAGCCACCCAGCCACTGCATGCTGTATTTACATTTAGCTGCCTCAGTAGCACACTGTCATTCCCGAGTGAAGTGGAAAGCTGACACTAGGGGTCTAAAAGACTAATTTTTTGTTTTTTTAAGATACACCCAGTCCCCCTACCTTACAAGAACTGAAGTGGATCCTCAGCCTGGGGTCCAGTGTGGGTTGCTGTGCTGTGACGGAGCTCCAGGCACCTCTACAAGACACACAAGGGAGCAGTAAGCAATGCACGTATAGATGGAGCTCCCTCTCGGCCATATAGCCAGCCCACACCACCTCAAGCTGACACTCAGATGCCAGGCAGCATATTTTGAATGGATGCTCGGAGCGAGAGCCAACAGTGCTGTGCTAGGGGGAGGCTGAGGAGTCTCTGACCTAGTGCAGTGGAAGGCACACAGCGACCCGCTGAACAAAGGGTTGCTCCCCACCCGTTGAGAACCACGGCTTTAAAACATTGCTTTTTGCTTTTACCGCTGCTAGTTAGCTAAAGTTGTAATTTTTTTTAATGGCATACCTGACACTGGGACAGTTCTTCAGTTAAGCTGTCGATTTTTTCCTCAAGTTGTTGAACATGTTCTTGAATGTTCTGCTTTGCAGCCATTTCTCCAGCCTTATATGTGGTCAAAACAAATTGTTTCCATCAACAAATGAACTGCAAAATATAAATACAGAGATAAATAAACACAAAGATAAAATACATAATTAAAACCATATTTGCAAATGAAATATCTTTATTGTCTAATTAAGTAGCCCAAACATATTGTATGTCTTCAACTAAACGACATAACAGACAAGGCCGAAACGCAATATTGGATGCCGTGATCTTCGGGCCCTCAGATGGCACTGCATTAAAAACAGGCATGATTCTGTGATGGACATCACTGCATGGGCTCAGGAATACTTCCAAAAATCACTGTCCGTGGACACAGCTCGCTGTTCCATCCAAAAATATAAGTTAAAGCGCTATCATGCAAAGAAGAAGCCATATCAGAACATGATCCAGAAACGCCGACCATCTTCTCTGGGCCAAAGTTTATTTAAAATGGTCTGTTGCAAAGTGGAAAACTGTTCTGTGGTCAGACTAATCAAAATATGAAATTCTTTTTAGCAGCCATGGGTACCGCATACTCTGGAATAAAGAGGAGAGGGACCTTCCGGCTTGTTATCAGTGCTCAGTTCAAAAGCCTGCATCCCTGACGGTATGGAGGTGCATTAGTGCGTATGGAATGGGCAGCTTGCACATCTGGAAAGGGCACCATCAGTGCTGAAAGATATATCCAGGTTTTAGAGCAGCATATGCTCCCATCCAGACGTTGTCTTTTTCAGGGAAGGACTTGCATATTCCAGCAGGACAATGCTACACCACACACTGCATCTATGACAACAGCATGGCTTCATAGAAGAAGAGTCTGGGTGCTTAACTGGCCTGCCTGTATCCCAGACCTTTCGCCAATTGAAAATATTTTTCACTTCTTGAAACAAAAAATGCGACAAAGAAGACTGAAAACTGCTGAGCAGATAGAATCCTATATCAGGCCAGAATGGGACAACATTCCTCCCCAAAACTCCAGCAACTGGTCACTGTGTAAACGTTTTTGTTTTGCTTTTTAAACAAGGCTTTTGTCTGGCAATATTGTCTTTCAAAATGATATTGTTTTCTATGCAATAGTCAAAAGCACAACAAACTAGGGATGCATCGATACTCGACGCCCGGCTTCCTGATTGTCCGGGAAGTCGGCTCCATGCTGGATCATCTCTTAATTCATGTTGACACTGTCCTTCCTTCTGGAGGGTAGTAACTTTTGTTCCCCATGGTCTCTGTGTGTTGTAAAGTAGTCACAACTAGTGATGGGCTCCAGCGTGTTCGCAAGCACCTCGTGCCGAGTCCGCCAGGAAGCTGTCAGCGCGCAGGGCCAATCACAGGCACTGAGACATTTCCCGATCTCTGCAGCTGCGGACCAGGAACATGTCTCAGTGTCTGTGATTGGCCCTGCACGCTGACGGCTTCCTGGCGGCCTCGGCACGAGGCGCTTGCGAACACGCCCGAGCCCATCACTAGTCACCACTCCAAGCTCAATCCTGTGATGGACTACAATCTCATGTTTAGTTATCTAATTTACATTGAGTTTGTAGTGCATCACAGGATTGAGCTTGGAGTGTGGACTACATTACAACACACACACAGGGACCATGGGGAGCAAAAGTAGCCACCCTCCAGAAGGAAGGACAATGTCAGCACCAATTCAGAGATGATTTGAGGATCTACAGCTGTGTGATACACAAATAAGCTACATTTTTGTTATTAGTTAGGGTACTTGAATGCATATTTAAAATGTAACTCCTGAGTTTAGTGTCACTTTAAAGCACATCTAATGTGAACAAGCCTGCATATATTTAATGGCTGGTATATAAAGGGTTTGCCCAGTGTATACCCACCGCACACCACCCCCAATACACAGACACCAGCCCCCACACTGAAATGGATTGTTTTAACATGCAGGCTGGTGTGAATGAGCTCTTCAATAAACATATATAAGACAGCTGTCATTATAGGGCTTAGGAAAATCAAAGTAAAAACAACAATAAACTGGTAGTAACACTGATCCCAAGGCTTGGTGGGAGGACTGCAGCAATTGACTCCATAAACAATCACTGTGCCCAGGAATGAAATGGTGGAAAGGACTACATACATGTAATAAAGTAATGAAGATGTCCCGTGCTGGATCAGGTCTGCACAGTAGTGACAAGTATACGGCACCACGATCATCACAACACTTCCCCGCTTGTCCAGCCCGCCTCTCCAGGCTCAACCAATAGGCAGACGCAGCCCAATATTAGCCAATCACAGAGCGTCGCATATCCCCGGTCTCTGTGGCGGCTATCAAAAGGGAGCTGGGATTGGCTGACCTCACTAAGCGCCGGTTACTGTGTTGTAGGGACGGGCGAAAAAGGTAGTTGCCCCGAGCGCCGGGTTATGGTGGAGTCGAGTGTGCGGTCGATATGTATTTCTCTCAGGAGAGAACAAATTCTCTGGCGCAAAGTGACCTGCAGAAGTGCGGAATGCATGCGGGCAATAGTAGAGATCGCCCTGGACTCTGGGTGGCCCGTGTGCCCACACACGGGCAAAATGTGTTTCGGGCGTCAACGTGTGTACAGGTCACCCTGCTGTACATTGTATATAGCCCCACTACAGCTATACAAAATCACTATATATGATTATATCCATAGGAACAACTGATTGCATCCATAGAAATTACTGTATGTGATTACATTCATAGAAACCAGTCATAACAACCATATAAATCACAGTGCGTGATGAAACTACATCCATAGGGACCGCTCATTAGATCCATAGAAATCAAAATATACCATAGGAACCGAACCACTATATGCCCCCTTTCATATAGGTCTCCCTCTCTACGCTTTTGACCTGTGATTAAACAGGCTTCCCACTCATGGTTCATTGATTTATAGGACAATTACAAGTATGCAGCACCATTTAACTTCTGATCGGGAGATTCCCCAGCCTGCAGCTGAATGTAAACAAAGTGGTGGGTGATGCTAGGTGACATCATTATCCAAATATGGACATATTTGGGTAATGATGTCAGCCAGCACCCCCGCCTCTTTGTTTACATTCCGCTGTCAACTGAAGAATCTCCCTGCCAGGGATGAGTCACTGGTTGCTAAGACATTACCAGCTGAATAGCCAACAGCCTCCTATCAACCAATGATGCTGACAGTGGGCAGAGTCTGGTGGGAATGCTGAGGGACTAGTTTGCCATCAGGTCTCCTCTGCTACTGATTGACAGCAGTCAGTGGGCATTCCATAGCCAATAGCAGGCTGTCTGCTATTTTTAATTGCAGGCCTTGGTTGCCATTTTGGCAAAGTCTGAAAGCCTGCTTTTAATATGGTAAAACCACAGTAATCTAGGGAACAATCTTTGTGTGAAAATAGTTCTGACTCCTCGGGGTGTGCCGGTCCTCTGCAGAGAGTTCACTGCTTCTACGCAGAGAGGTCCTTCTCTTCAATGTGCTGGCAGGAGACAGACTTTTCTCCTCACGCTGCAGCTGTTTCTACACAAAAATTGTAAGACTTTGCACACTTTCCATTTTGATATACCTGGAATACATTTACCTGATTTAAGCTAAAAGTTTAGTTGGGATTTAAATCAAAATCTATAGAAAGTGACTGAGCAAGTAAATGTTCTTTTTATTTTAAATTTACATCTTTGACTGTATGCAAATTAAATCACGCTATAATCACAGAAGATCATTTGCTTTGTTATACTTTCTTGTCAATGTCTTTATTTATTATTTTGCAATAAATAATATTGCAAACTGATAGTTTTTTGTTGCCATCAGCGTATTCAACTGATTACATTTCTGACCCTGACCCCAATTGACATCTCTAGTCATTTCAGTAGTTATTTGGATATAAATCTATATTCAATTTTACTTGTAAGAAAATACATGGAAATCAAGCTAGTAACAGAATGTTAAAGAATTGGAAGTCACAGTTACATCTTTCAATACACGTGTAAAATATAGAGTATTGTCTTGTCCCATATTGACATTTTCTATGTAATTTAAGGTACAGGAGGTTTCACATTTTTTATAGACCCCAGCGTCACATTCTGTTTCTTTCAACTCTCAGTAAATCACATGAATGGGTACAATGCTGCTAAATTATAAAGTTTCATGACTAATACAACCATTGATGATACATCATACTAAAGAAATGTTCACAAACTGAATATTAATGTTTTAAATCCTACCTGTTTCTAAATTGTTATCCATCTGACAGAGGATTCATAAAGTAAATCATCAACAATGAAATTGTGCGTTTCTTTGGGAATCTTTAATATTTGCTTTTCTTGGTGCATTTATGTCACAGGTCGGTTAGAACTATGAGGTGAGTGAAAAGCACTCACCTCATAGTTCTCCTTTAGGCTGGGTTCCCACCTAGGCGTTCGAAATATGCGTGCATTTACGAGGGCTATCCGTCTGTATCCTAATGGATACGCGCAGAAATACGCCCCAAAGAAGCTCCTGTACTTCTTTGGGCATAGGGCGTTTTTCAGCACGTTCCGACACGCTGAAATACGCCTAAGTGAGAACCATGCCCATAGGAAATAATGGGCTTTTTACAGCACGTCGATCAGCGCTGTAAAACGCCCAGGTGTGAACCCGGCCTTAATGGCTCTAAAATGATTGATCTCACTCTGTTTGCGGCGATATGCAACATGTGCGGCACGTAGGCGCATGTGACGCATATATGCGTGTGTATGTCGGGGGCTGGGACTTTAAAAAAATGAATGAATGTTTAAAAAAATAAATGTTATGCTTCTATATTTTTTTATGAATCTTTCATTTTTGTATTACTTTTTTTTGCATACAACTTTATTGCTATTACATGGGGGGCTAAAAAGCCCCCTATGGGATAGCCAATTTACATGACAGGTCCTCTTTAGGGAGACATCAGTGGTCTCCAAGACCCCTAATGTCACCTAGGGACCTCCAGAGAAGCCGATGAAGCAGAGATCGGCTTCATCATCTTCTCTAGCTGGAGAGTGACACTGAATGCAGGAAGTGATGTAATCTACATCACTTCCTGCATTCGGGGACTGAGAGGAGAT